TCTAGACTTCACTGCTAACAATTACTTGCTTTTCCTATCCCTGGTGTGCTCATTGCCTGTTTAGATTGTACTGTGAGGTCTTCAGGGCAGCAGCCTTGTTTCTGTATTCATTTCCTTTACAGAGTTAAAGCACACAACATACTTTTTATAGCAAGTTCTCCTTCCTCCACCACTTTTCCAGAAACCTTGGTGGAAATCTTGATCTCCTTTGGCAATAACACACTAGATGGTTTCTCAGCTAGTTTTTTCTCTTCTGTTCATAATAGAGGAATATTGGTGTCTCAAATTGGTGTACTAAATGAGTGCATTTGCCTTTTCTATACTGACACCAACAGACCGTGAACCCTTTGGCAGAGAAAGCTCAGTCAATACAGATTCTGTGGATTCTACTCTTCTTAAATATCTGCCTCCCTGTTTCCCTACTTTCCATAAATAACAAAATGTCCTCACTCCTCTTGGAGATTTTTGATAACCCTAACCTGAATAATTACTACAAATAGCTTTATTTTTAAATAACATCATAAAGATCATTTAAAGCAAAACTGAAATTTCTTCTCTTGACAGCTGTCCCATATTAAAGTTAACAACTTGTAAAGATAAAGCCATAAAGGCAGGCTGAAAACAAACTCCCATACCTACAGGTTTTGCAGTTCCCTCAGGGCAGAGCCTGTTGTCGCATTATACCGTTTACAGTCGATTTTTGCTGTAAAGGGAATTTTTTTAAAGTAACTCCACTTGATTAGACCTGTATTTCACTGTAATGTAAACAAACTTGTTGTCATATGGTTTTCGTTGTATAATAGTGTCCATGTTTTCAGTGTGTGAATCAGTTATTCTATAGTCCAGTTTTTCCCTCTTTCCTTTGTAAAAATCATTACATATCTAGAATCTTTTAGGTACGGTATGAACTTCAGTATCTGAGATTTGTGAAAACAAGACTTCTGTGAAGGTGTCTTTTATAGTTGTCACATAGCCCAAAGCCCTGGCTTAGATGGACTTTTCCCCAAAGGAGATGAGCCAAGTGGAAGTAAGGAGGCCTATCAGGAATGATGATTTTCTGCTTCCCTCTTTCCTAGGGTTGCCAGGCATCTGGTTTTCGACTGGAACGCCTGGTCGAAAAGGGACCCTTGTGGCTCTGGTCAGCACTGCTGACCAGGCCACTAAAAGTCCGGTTGGTGGCACAGCAGGGCTAAGACAGGCTTCCTGTGTGCCCTGGCTCTGAATGGCTCCCCAAAGTGGCCAATATGTGCGGCTCCCAGGTGCTGGGTCGGCCACGGAGGCTCTGCATGGCCAATTGGAGCTGCGGAGGCAATGCCTGTGGGCGTAGGCTGCACGCAGAGCCCCCTGGCTGCACTGCTGCCTGGAAGCTGGACATGCTGGCTGCTTCCGGGAGCCACCTGAGGTAAGCACCGCCTGGCCGGAGTCCACACCCTGAACCCCCCTCCCGCACCCAAAGTCCCCCCCAGTGACTCGGGATGGGAGCAGGGCAGGGGGAAAGGCAAGGGTGTTTGGTTTTGTGTGATTAGAAAATAGGCAACCCTACTTCTTTCCCTTATTGTGGGTGACAGGAAAAGGCAAGAGGAGATATTGATGAAACTAGACCATACCAGCAATGTGTGAAGGAAGGACTCCAGTTCCAAGTTGGAATAGGAGATTCCTTACTCAAAACAGTAATGAATGTCCATGTTTAAAAACAAAATAAATAAAAAAGTTCTCAAGATATGTGGCTTGATTATGCTCCTGTCTGTGTCCCCCTCTTCCGACATTCCAGCTACATAAAGGAGCTGATAAATCCTGCTTCCTGTGTTGCCAAGTAAGAAAGAGAGAAGACCTACAATCTGGTGGAGTACATTTGCTCATTTACACAAGCTCTCTGTTCCCACAGGCAGGTGTTTATTATTGCTGGCTTTTCACACATCTGGCTGGCCTTGCACAGAGTAGATTTGGCCACTGTGTAAGTCAGTGGTAGATTAATGATTTTGCCACCCCTAGGTCCCGTCCCGCCGCTCCCGGCCCCCCCCGCATCAGTTCACCTCCGCTCCGACTCCACCTCCTCCCCTGAGCGTGCCACCGGGTCCTGCTTCTCCCTGCCAGTGCTTTTGTGCGAAACAGCTTCGCAAAGGAGGGGGGAAGAGGGGGGAATGCGACGCGCTCAGGAGAGGAGGTGGGGCCGGGGCAGGGATTTGGGGAAGGGGACCAATAGGGGCAGGGAGGGGAGGGGCGGGGAATGGGGGCGGGGAATGGGGGCGGGGAAGGGGTGGAGTTGGAGCGGGGCTGGGGGTAGAGGGCGAGAACCCGCAGTAGAGGGTGCGAACCGGCACTGGAGGAAGCAGCCTCTGGATGCTGTTGTAAATTTGCCGCCTCTGCAAATTTGCCACCCTAGGCCTGGGCCTTGTTGGCCTAGGCGTTAATACGCTACTGGTGTAAGTGACAAACTAGACTTTGCAGGTTTACACACCTGTAAATGCAGTATGGTATTTGTTTCTGATTAGAATCTTAATTATTTTCACCTAGTCAATCTGCAGAGGGATTGAAATGCTTTATTTTTATACGTAAACATATATTAAGATAAATATAAAATATAAAAATATATGCAATTATAAAATAAAATTATGAAATATATATTATAAAAACATATAAAATGTTTAAAATATTCACTTGCTTTTCTCAGTACAAAAAAAATGTAAGGAGTAGATGTGATTACCATTACTAAACTGGAGTCCATAAAAATACGAAAATTTACATTTGGCAAAATTATCCACAAAGTTATTTTTTAATAATTTAAGATAGACAAAAATAGTCTTGACACATCATTTTGGGAAATGATTCCATACTTTTAAATTTGACCCATCTTTCATGGTTCAGGCAACAGCTCATATAGTAAAAGGACTATTAAATGACCCTGAGGTCAGTGACAGCATTAAAAAGAAATTACCCTCGGGTAAATAGTTCTTTTATTTATATGGTTGGCTTCAGACAGTATCCAACAATCTCAGGAACTATTTCATTAACATACAAACATATATGTGTATAGTACATTTACATATTATTATAAGGATCATATATTGAAATATGTGTGTTATGATTTATATTTTGTCTCTCTGTATACAGATATAATAAATGCACATACATACACTGCATATACTTGCACCTTTCATCTGTCTTTGTTGATTGGATGGGTTGTGTAACAGGGCCACAGAGCAAGAAGGATTGTTAATCATCAGTTGAAGTGTCAGCTGTACACTATTTTTTATTTTGTAAGCAGCTAAGCCCTACTGGAAACTTGTACTGTTTCAGGTTTGTCTCTCTTCATCTAAAGCAATTCATTACTCACCTACAAGAGCTGTCATAGACCCCAACAGTTGTGATATTAGTTTCTTCAACACTCTTGACAAATTTAAAGAAAAAATTGGGTTTTTATACTATGACTTTAAGATCAGTAAGTAGAGGTGTTTGGTGGTTTTTTTCTGCTTGAACTTGGACACATTTGATTGTGATTTAGTATATTTGAAAAATAAGCAAGTTGCAAAATGTTTCTAGAACAACTGAGGTTTACTTATTGGACCTTCATAACTTATGATCACAGAGACAGTGATATGTTGGCACTGCATTTTGCTATAGTAACATCTCAGCAAGCTCAGAGATGAAATGTAAATTCTCAAACCCCCATGGGCGTACATGTCAAAGTCAATTTTGAGTTTCTGCCCTTGTGTTTCTCTCTTCACATTTACTCAGAGGCAATATGCAGCTGAAAAAATGTCTAGTGTCACCTTCCATTAAAATGCAGTGGAATCCATTCTAGTTATTGTTTTGCCTTTTAGTACTGAAAAAAAAAGTTTAGTTGTTTTTGGAATGAGGATAATTTTTATCTTCTGTGGAAGAAGTATTGTTAGGTATAAATTATTTTTTTAAATTATTTGTGAGCTATCCTGCATAAAATCGTCACAGGAATGACAATAGAAACTTACGTAGGGATAGATTTTGTAGCAGAGTTTTGCTAGTGCTATGTATAAATTATTACAGAATTATGCTCATTTTACTATTACAGTTTTTCCCTTCATCTCTCAGGGTGCCTGCTTTCTGGAAAACCCATTAGTTAGTAAGAGGCTTGTTTTCCACCACCTTTCCCCAAATGCTTGTATGTTGAATCGGGAAGTTGTTTCAATTGCAGTCTGTCTATCTACTTACTTATATAATATTTATCAAGGTAGTATCCGAGTGCCTAGCATCCCTGTCAAGTACTATTCCCATTTTACAGATGGGGAACTGAGGTATGGGGCAGATTAAGTGACTTGCCCGAAGTCACACAGGAATTGAATCCAGATCATTAGAGTGCCAGTCTAGTGCCCCTGTCCACTAGAGATTAGACCATCTTTCCTACCCAGTCATTCTCAGCCTGATTCACAAGGATTCAATAGTAGTTCAGTAGCTCAGCCAGCCAGATTCATAGGTTTTACTGTTCTTTTGTCACTCTCCGGGGGACCCACCCTTGTAAACTGATGAAGTTAATGGGAGCTTGAGAGTACTCAATATCTTGCAGGATCAGGCCCTAAATGAGAAGGCATACACTTCAAAGAAAAGCTGTGTTAAAATATTTGTTGGTGTGTAGATTGGATTGTCCAGTGAGCAATATTCAGCTAACTGCCATGTTGTTGTGTTTAGTCCCTGGCTTGAGTTGGTGTCCAGGTCTTCAAGTAGTAGAGCCATCCAGCTGCTGCAGTTTTGCTTTAAATCTTTGGATCAAATGGCATTATCAGTTGGATTCCTCATTGCCAGAAGGTTAGCTAAGCTGAAATAACTTTTAACTGTGACTTGTAGATTTGAAGAGGGATAGTAAAGTCAGTTCGTTATTCCTCAATGAGGTGTTCAGTAAATAAATTCACTGCAGTTACTGATTTTTCTAAATGGCTACCTTTTCCCCCCCTGTTCTGACTGACTTATAGCAGGAATGTTTTTACTGTAAAGAGGGGATATATTTTTATTTTTGGTTTTGTTTGCAGCTCAAAAGGTTTATTAGAACGCCGGAAATCCCTTCCAAGCACGTGAGGAACTGGGTCCCTAAGGTCCTGGAGCAGCGGCGACAAGGCTTGGAAATATACTTACAGGTAAGCTCCCTGTCAGCTCTGTGTGTGTGTGTGTCTGTGAGAAGAAGCAGCCCTCATTTTTAGAGCTGCCCTAGATGCTGGTGTAGCACTGGAGCATTTTAAAATATACCCAGAAAGAAGAGACCTGGGATTTCATTGGTGGAGTTTGGGCCCAGAGGAAAATGGTAGACCTGAATTCTTTGCAGACTGTGGCCCCTCTTTGTACTTTCTGCCCTCTTGCAGGGGGAAAGAGGATAGACTTCAGCTTGCTAGAGGTAGGCAATGGGGAGTCCACCCTGAGTTATGGGCTATATGATAGGTCCCCTGTAAGCCCCCCACTGCCCTCACTTACATGCCTGCTATGGGAAGATTGGGCCGATAATACCCCTCTCTGATGTTATGTTTAATAAAGTTTTGGTCTGCAGCTTAAAATACATTTCTGTGTCTCTCCTCATTCACTTGCATGTCTGGATCAAGAGCTTGTTTTCAGAGTTGACCTGAACACTGGTGTAGCACTGAAGTGTTTTCAAATACTAGATAGTTGAATCCGTTAGGTGAAATCCTGGCTCCATTGATGTCAATGGCAGAACTCCCGCTGTCTTCTATGGGGCCAGGATTTCACCCGCTGTCAGTAGCTACACTGTAATAAGTTAGGGCTGACCATTAGGGGAGCTGTTTAAGCTGGCAAAAGGGGAAAAATGCATTACATAAGTAGCGATCATTTGTGGCTTAGGTTCTTAATGAGTCTTTACCTAATCTTTGCTTAGACATTCATTAATTGTGGGAATTCCTACTGCAACCACATACCACTTGAAGCACTCACTACTTAGAAAATGAAGAGTGCTACGATTTTTGAAATTTCTCCCAGATTTCAGGGAAGGTTGGAAGCTGGGAAGGAAAAAAATCATACTTTAATTTCAGAGTATCTCCAAAAGGGAAGAATTTTGGAACTGAGGAGGAAAATACACTTTAAATTGTTTGTTTTGATTTAATCTTAAACTAATTCAAAAACTAGGGGATGGTTTTCAGGCGTGGACATCCATATAGTAAAAATGAATGGGTGGCTGCACACAGAACTTTGGGGAATATTATGTTCTGTTTCAGATTATTTTTAAAAGAGAACAGACATTTCATTGTCAGAAGACTATTTCCTAATTTAACATTTTTTTATTGTTCTACACAAACACTCCCCTCTGTCTTTCTTCTTCCTCTTTGCCATATTTGTGGTATCAGAAGTAGCTAAGGAATTTAGGTAAATTTCTTGGGTGTTTGTATGTATACAAAATTTGTGGGACTACTCTGGACACTCTTTTTAATAAATTGCTGTTCTCAAGAATGGCAAAGAGAAGTGGAGCATTTTTGATACTCTTGATTTATTTAGCCTTTCCCTATGCATATGTTTAAGTAACCAGTTTTTGTTTTCCCCTGCATTAATGGGTTATTTTGTTTTTACCAAGCTTCTGTTTTTGAAGATGTTCATATTTGTAGAACCCAGTAGAACTTTTTTGTTGATAATGAATGTGGAAAAAAGATAATACAACAATCAGTTGTAACATTATTACACTATAAGGTGCCACAAGTACTCCTTTTCTTTTTGCGAATACAGACTAACACGGCTGTTACTCTGAAACCTATAATTATTATGTAAGTTTTATTTTGAGGAGACACTTAGAATTTGTTCATGTATAAAAATGTGATCTGCTTAAAATTAACTGTTGCAGAATATCGTTCCTGAGATTGATTGATTTAGGGGTGTATATTTTTGAATAGGGTGCGATATAGGTGAAATTACTACCATTATTTCATTGCTGAGAAACTACAAAGACACTATCACCCCCTACTGGAGGAGTTAATTAACTTACATTCCTACTTATATCATTAACTTTGGTTATATTGTCGGTAATTTTGATGTGCACTGATGGGGAAAGAAATTTTAGACAAGATTTTAAAAAATATAAGCTGAATTTTAGTAAAATTCATATTGCATATTGAGGCATTTAAATAAATGGCCGGATTTTCAGAAGTGCTGACTACCTGGCCATTCCCAAAGATGTCAATCGGGCCACTTATTTAGGTGGTTAACTTTAGGCATTCATTTTTTAAGTTCTTGGCCTTTAATTTCAAACTGAATGAATCTAAAGTGTTGAAGGGAGATCTGTATAAATGTAACAGCAGGGATTTAGTGTTTGTATACTTTGGCTGTTACAATTTACACCTGCTGTATGTGTAGCTGTAGAGTGCCAGCATCTTTTTGATACTAGTAGATTGCTAGTGAATTATGATACAGTTGTAAAAAAAAGTAGTAATTTTTTCAGGCCTTTATGAGGGGATTGAGTGTTTACACAGTTGCTACTGCCAAACCATTGTCTTTATGCTCTCATGTAGTAATTTCTCAATATATGTGTTGCACCTTTAAAACACACAAAGTTACCAAAATGGTGTTGTACCATGCAGACTGCAAACAAATATTGACCTGTTTCAGTCATTGCCTTATGTTGCTGCTTTATTTTTTTTTCTGTTGTATACTTCAGATAACCGAGTATGAGGGCCCCAGCTAGTAAAATTTGAATCCATGTTTAATTGCATGAAAATGGAATGTTGTTCTTTGTCTTTTGTGCAGCAAAAGAAACTATGTGTAATTCTCTTACAGTGATGGAAAATGCTGCAGCTGCCACTCCAGTGGATAAAAATGTCCCATCACCTTTACTTTATTAACCCAGCTTCTTGTATTATTTCAGAATAAATTTTAAAAATCCAGGTTCTCATTTTTTTATATTTTTGTATTTTTCTGAAGAATTTAAAAATAGTTAATTAGCACAGGTTTTTAAGAGATCATGCAATTCCAATGTTTGCATTTCTTTTAATATTTATCCCTATTTATTGTATGTTGAAAATTCATTGGATTACTTATTTGTTTCTTGATTTTGAAAGCTGTGAGAGGCTTTTTGTCTTTTCATAATGGATTGATTTTCTGCCTGGAAGTGCTAAAGGTTGATGTATGTTTTGTTTTAAATGACTGCCACATTTTACAAGTTCAAGAATGGAAGTTACAATTTTCACTTAAAATACTATGGAACAACTGGCTAAGAAGCACCAACATGTATTCAGTAGTTTCAATGGTAATAATAAACAGCATTATATGGCATTGCCAATACTGTGCACACACTGATTGATTGATAGGAGATAGGTTGGAATTATTAGTTCTGATTTATAAATGGGGAAACTGAGACACAACACGTAAATGGGAGTCAGTGACAAAGCCGAGACTAGAGCTCACACAGGTCTAACTCAGAGTCAGAGCACTTGATTGCTAGACTACACTGTCTCAGAAAATACTGTTGAAGGGCAGTTTATCCTGCAGTTAGATATATAAAAAGGAGATTTCATAATCAAGGGGTTTAAGGTGGGGGAAGGTCAGATATAATTTCACATGGGTCCCTTATACGGAAAGTCTCTAATTCTGAGCAGAAAGGGTGGAAGCTTAACATATTTTAAAATTTTATTAAAGCTAATGTTAAAAATATTATGTAATACATAGGTTGAGAAAAGAGTGTCTGTACATCTGAGTATAGTGCTTAGATTATTCACAAATATAAAGTTTTGTTTTTAAAAGTCATATGATACAATCAGCATTAACCCAAATTTAGGTGAATAAATTTAAGAATATAGTTTAGATATTAGCAACCAAGTATTCAGGTTGTACAACTTTTCATAAGTGATCTGAGATTTGGTTGTGGAAAGCAAAATATATCAGTGTGTGAAGATTGTCCTTCAGTAATTGAGAATTTAGGGTAGGTTGTCCATTTAGAAAATACAATCCATGAGGAAAGTAGTTCAGTTACTTTCCTGACTGCACTTCTCATTGACATATTACTAGGAATGTCTGACCTATACTGGTGAGATTGGATCAAGGTTTGTTTTAACCCCTTTACTTTCCTAAGAGCACTAGGAATTAGAAGCAGGGATGGAAATCCAGAGCACCAATTGTTAGTCCAGGGAATGAGGAATACATCTGTTGCTTCCACTTCTTTTTCTTTGACTCTACTATGCAATCGGTGACTGGTCATTTATCCTTTACCCCAAAGAGGTATAGAAATGGAAATCTCCTTTGATGGCATATCTGCAGAAATACTGATCACTTGAGAGGTCTCCACTCCCTCCAGGGTGGACTGTATATTGGATTAGAAAGCCACTTTTTAGATAAATCTCTTCACTGATGCCAGGGTTCATTTGCCCATTAGATAATTGGTTGGGATTCCAATAATAGGCTACAATGAGGGATTCCACCTAATTGTTTATATAAGCAATTACTGCCATGTCAATCCTGATAAGTATTAGCTAACATATGATTCATTCTCAGAAGAGCAGTTCTTGTGACCCTCATCTCTAATGAATTGATAATGGAGAAGTTTCTCTGATTTAACCATCTGCCCTCTACTGCACATTAGGTGATTCAATGTCCCAGTAAGATGACACTGGATGTTACTAGAGAGACAAAGTGGGTGAAGTTCCTCCAGGGCAGATTGGAAGTGGCCCTGTAGGTTTTTCGCCTTCCTCTGTAGCATGGGGCACAGGTCACTTGCTGGAGGATTCTCTGCTCCTTGAAGTCTTTAAACCACGATTTGAGGACTTCAATAGCTCAGACATAGGTGAGGTTTTTCTCAGGAGTGGGTGGGTGAGATTCTGTGGCCTGCGTTGTGCAGGAGGTCAGACTAGATGATCATAATGGTCCCTTCTGACCTTAGTATCTATGAATCTATGAATATCTTTTAGTGAGCAACTTCTGTTGGTGAAAGAGACAAGCTTTCAAGCTGCACAGAACTCTTCTTCAGGTCTGGGAAAGGTTCTCAGAGCGTCACAGCTAAATACAAGCTGGAACAGATTGTTTAGCACAGGTAGTTAACACATTTTCCAAGGGACGATTTAAGGTGAAGTGCCCATTAATACTTCTGCATTCATAGGACAAAAAAGGACAATTAGTGGATTACAGATTGTTGTAATACACCATAAATCCAATGTCTTTATTGAGATCATGACTTTTAGTGTCTAGCAAGGGTATGAATTTAAGCTCCCAGACTCGTCTTTTGAAGAAGTTGTGCAGGTTTCCTTTGAGGACAAGGAATGAGAGGTCAGCTATGGAGTGATCCTTTTGTGAAATGTTACTGTCATCCCAGTTTTACTTCCCTATAGGCTTGCCCTTCTGTAGGTTGTCTTTTAAAATTCAACAGCATAAATATTTTCTAACTCCCTTGCGCAGAAGAAATCTCATCGCTTGCTGATTTCTGCCCCTACAAGATAACAGACATAGTTAGCAGAGGTTGCCTGTGGAGTTGCACCTCTAGTTCAGAATCAAAATACAAAGTCACCAATCACAGGTGCAAGAGGATTTAGTCAGGCAGTGGGATACTGGAGAAGCTGCATGCCTCTGGTGAACATCTGAGTAATGACTCATTTCTTGTCATGTGCGCAAGCTAAAAAAAGCTGCTCTTACAACTGACGACAATCCAGTGTAACGGAGCACTGATAGACCTTCTGAACTTTTCCCTGTGCGTGGGCCAATGCATCTGCTTTTACTTAACCTGCAGTTACTTTGTCCTTGTGCTGAGGAATAACCATTCTGACCACCATTACACTTTTTTTTTTTTAAAGTAAATTCAAGGGCTGAGATATGTCTGAAAGGAAGTGCAGTGAAGTGGGTTGGTTGCTGAGGTAATGTAGGTGACCTTAAATTATGCAAACAAACTTCATGTTAAAATACACAAGTGCTGGCATTCTATTTGAGTACATTTATGGGTCCCTATCACTACAGCATCTGAATGAATCAAACAATGAATGTATCAATGCAAAACCCACGAGGAAGGGAAGTACTATTAGCCTCATTTTAGTTATCCAAGGTCAGACAAGAAGTATGGGGCAGAGCTGGGAACTGAACCCAAGTCTCCTGAATCCCATTTTGATGCCTTCTCTATTTCAGTGTCTGATCCATCCTTTTTCTCCCCTAGATCAGGAGTTCTTAATGACTTTCCTTGTGAGGCCCTCCCAGCATGCTAAAAAAACTCCACGGCCCACCTGTGCCACAACTCTTTTTCTGCATATAAAAGCCAGGGCCAGTATTACAGGGTAGCAAGCAGGGCAATTGTCCAGGACCCCATTCCACAGGGGGCCCAGCAAAGCTAAGTTTCTTAGGCTATGGCTTCAGCCCGGGTGGCAGGGCTTGAGGCCCCAGGCTTAAGCCCCATGCGGTAGGGCTTCGGCTATATGCCCTGGGCCCCAGCAAGTGAAATTCCGGCCCTGCTTGGCAAACCCCCTGAAACCTCACCGCTCCCCCCCCCCAACCCCAGTTGAGAACCACTGCCCTAGATGAACGTCATTTTGAACTTCTTGTATTCAGTGAAGAAATTGGACCATTTAAAAATCTAGAATTACACTAATCCTCTGACTTGTTTCACACTGTGAAGAATGGAGAAAATCTCAATGGCCCTTAGTGAATAAAGAGCTAGTACTGCTATTCGGATTTTTATCAGGAGAGGTTGTATTCAAAGGTAATGCATCTCTTTTGATTGAGGTGAAGGAACTGATACTGTTTAAGAATGACCTACTAGTCTTTAATTTGATCTCGTGCTTCCATGAAGAGGGCAGTCATGACTCCTAGAGAAAAGACTGGGGGAACTGGATTTTAGGAGTCCAAACCCCTTGGGATTTGAAGGTTTGGTAATTAACCCTGGGCAACAGAATCAACATTTCAGAAGTTTCAGGAATCCAAATCTTCAAAACAAAGTGTGAATCTTATGAAAACTGTTGACTCAAGATTGTTTTCTACCTAAGTAAACAGTCTAGAAATCTGACAAATACTTTTGAGCTACATCCCAATATTCTCCAGAATGTGGGTCTCCCCTTGAAAAGATATATTAATAAACATACAGTCTTTTCTGCAATTTATAAAGATCAAAAGAGATGTGAGATAACATATGCCAATATTTCTGCAGCTGAAGCATTTCTGAAGCATCCAGTTTTTTCCCCATTCATTGTCTTAGAGAGTTTCTTTCATAAAAGACCTACAGGTGGAGTCAGGATCTGTAAACAGAGGATGACTTTATGAGTGTCTGATTTTTTTAAAAATTATTTTAATAATTACCCTCCTTCCTATTTCAGATAGGTTTATTTTTCATTCTTTGTCATTAATATAACCCATTTTTGGGAAACAATTAAACTGCAGGTGAAAAATACAGATACACACTTTGCAAATTGCACCTGCAAAAGGGAGGCTGGAGACCCTTTTGAAAATTCAGCGCCAAATTTGATTTCAACTGATGGCTCTTTTGAGTTGTTCCAACAAACATTGCATCAGGATATTAAAGATGAAATAAAAATAAATGCTGTTTGGATAAAATGTATAGAAAATATTGTTGCATGTGAATGAAAATTTAAAAATGTCTCTGGTAGCACCAATATTAATGTGAGATGGTGAATTCTAAAGTTGTTTCACTGTCTTTTAAGTATAAGAAGAAGATTGAACTACGTGAAAATATAAAAAAACCTCATTAAATGTGCTAGAGGGATATTTTGACTTCTTTGGTAACTGTTTTGGATCGTAAATTTCAATACTCTTTGAGAGTTTATATAGTTTTTCAGATTCCAACAGAGTATAGAATCATAGAATATCAGGGTTGGAAGGGACATCAGGAGGTCATCTAGTCCAACCCCCTGCTCAAAGCAGGATCAATCCCCAACTAAATCATCCCAGCCAGGGCTTTGTCAAGATTTTAGATTATGATCAAGCTAAATCTGTTCTACAGTTACAAGCACAAAAATTGTAAAAAAGATTATTTCTGAAGCTTAGTGGATTCTCAGAAGTATGATGATTTGTATAAAAATCCATTTACATTTGAGTTTTAAAGTAGAAAAATTGTGATTGCTTTTTGTGTTGTATAGTAAATTTAGTCTGAATCCATCTAAAACAGCATCACTGGGTAATCTGTTTTTCAGGACATTTTGTACATTTATATCTCAAATGTCTTCCAATCCTAGACCCTTTATTTTTCTGTTGGGAAATTTGAAAACATTATTTGAAAAAAATTATAAGGATTTATACATGTTTTCTCTTATGCCAGTGTTGTCAATTGATGTAAGAAATCTATTTTTAAAAATAATTCAGGGGGAACTTATAATTGGGGCCCTATCAAATTCACAGTCCATTCACAGCCATAGGATTTTTAAAATTGTATATTTCATGATTTCAGCTATTTAAATCAGAAATTTCACGGTGTTGTAATTGTAGGGGTCCTGACCCAGAAAGGAAGTGGGAGGGGGGGGGGGCGCGGTACTGCTACTCTTACTTCTGCACTGCTGCTGCCGGTGGCGCTGCCTTCAGAGCTGGGCAGCTGGAGAGCAGCGGCTGCTGGCCGGGAGCCCAGCTCTAAAGGCAGAGCCACCTTCAGCAGCAGCGCAGAAGTAAGGCTGGCATGGTATGGTATTGCCACCCTTATGTCTGTGTTGCTGTTGGCGAGGTGCCGTCTTCAGAGCTGGGCGACTGGCCACCAGCCGCTGCTATCAGGCCACCCAGATCTGAAGGCAGTGCAGAAGTAAGGGCCCCCCTGCAGCTCCCTTTTGGGTCAGAACCCCCAGTTTGAGAAATGCTGGTCTCCCCCATTAATCTGTATAGTATAGGGTAAAAGCACACAAAAGACCAGATTTCACAGTCCATGGCATGTTTTTCATGGCTGTGAATTTGGTAGGGCCCTACTTATAACTTGACAGATCACATCGCCAAGATAACAAGACATTATGAATGACACAGTAAGGGCAGCTTCTAGTTCATGAGAAGATAAAGCAACCTTCTCCTTTACAGACCTTTTTCTTTTTCTGTCTGAAATTTCCCCAAAAGTCTCTCAAGAAGAGAGTGTCTCAAGCAGAAGAATTAACTGTACAAAAATGTCCAGAAAAATGCTTTTACAATTTTTGCATTTTTAACTCTAAAAAATGTTTAGGTTCATCATAAACAAATGTATATGTTCTTTTGCTTGTCAAAATGAATTCCACCAGTAAGAGAGCTCATTTTCTAGACATAATTAATTGTCACCCAAGGTTGCTCACACCAAGCTGAGTTGCCCAAGCCTTGTGAAGGAATGGAAGATTTGCTGATGCAAGTAGCTTTTCAAGCTCAGGACAGCACCCCAGAGATCCACCTTTATTTTCTGGAAGTTTGCATACCTTCTGTTAAAAATCTTCGGAAGAACTAGAATTTTTCAGAGCTTGTAATACCAGTTTTATTAGGAATTTCAAACTTAGATATTAATACCTTGAGTCATTCCATGAAGAAGAGAGTCACCCTTTTCAGCTTCTGAGTCTGAGAAGAAGGAAGCTTTGATTTCAGTTCTTTTCTTAACTCTGTCTCTCACTGGATTTGATTGTGAAGAGGAAGAGCTCTCCAACACTCAGCCTGTTGAGGAATTTAATCGGTCCTGCATTGTTTAGCAGATCTAGTTGCTGTTGGCCATTTAGGTCAGTGCTGTGGGTCTTCTGACAGGGAAGAAAGTGGAATGCCCTGTAGTATACTATTCAGTTTGAGCGAAACCAAAAGTTGGCCTGTGCACTGCAGTAGAAAAGTCATCTTGTGCATCTCTTCCAATGCATAATTGTTCTACACTGTACATTTCCTCGGGCTTTGTCTCTGAATAAAGAATGAGTATTTTGCTACTGCTTGTGGCTGAAATATTGCTTTATTGTCTTCTTCATTGCCAAAGGAACAGAAGATTCCTGAAAATCGAGGAATTAAGTCCTCTGTGACAAATAGAGTATTCCCTCCCCCCACCCCCGTATTTTTTTCTATTCCCTGCCTATAGTTGAGGAAAAAATATCTGTGAGGTCAACTCACAGTAGCATGTATAGGTCAACCTTGTCTCCGCCAAGGCAGAACAGAAACTGGAATGTCCTTATATGTAGAATGGAGATGGTACTTAGTGAGTGGGGTTGTTGTACTTCTACATAGTCATATAGGACCAGAAGCAGTCCGTAAACCCGCCTCTGTAACTGGAACAGTTTGACAACTCCACCATTTGTACTTTTAATTATACTTTAAACATTTTTTTAAAAGTTGCCCATCAATATCTATAGGGATGGAAAACCTATCAACCTGTATTGTGGAGTGATGTAAAATTACAGTATTGGGGAAAAAATAAAAGGAAGATGTATGTTTATTGATTCAATCCAGTAAAAAGTATCTTAAGCATCAGAAATAGGATAGACTTAGTAACAGTTCCAGAATCAGATAGTAACAAGGACATGAATACAGAAATGTTCAGCCATTAGAATCTTTTCTTCTATTTCCATGAGGTAGAATTTATATCACATGTATTAACTCTGAGTGTTCATATCCATTACATTTTCCCTCCTGTGCTGAGATATATACTCCATACTGGTCCCAGTTCAGGAAACCATCCCTATTTTTCGAAACACGTAAGCATGTGATCAAGTGTAACTTTAGGCACATTTCAGTTACATTAAACATATACCTAAGTGTTTCTCAAAATTGGGACAGGTGTGTACAATAATCACCTCTGTAAAAAACAAAATACCAAACAGTTACCACCATTATTTCCTATTCTAAATACACAGGGAATCTGTGGAATTTCATATGCCACTGTGTGATGATGGTTGTAAATGCTGACCACTGCATAAATTCAAATGGTTTACATTATAATTCACAGATTTGGGCTAGCCACTCAAGCTCAGACCCAGAGGGTCAGATGGACTCAAGGGCCCAACTGTCACCCAAGCTGCAATGTTCACACTGCTATTTTTGGTGTGCTCGCTCAAGGCGAGCTAGCATGAGTCTGTCTACCCAGGATGGGAGGCTCACTCCCAGATGCTGTGTAGACATAGCTTTTGAGGCCAAGATGAATGGGATTTTGTTTTAATACTAGGTGAGTGCATGTGATAAGTGGATCTAATTTTATAAAAGGGTAGGGAATATAAAACTTTAATCTTGTGAAATACAGTTTAACTGCTATTTTATCTGGAACTCCCTCTTATCTGAAAAAAAGATTGTGTCACCCAATATCTATTAATCACATTGAAAATTCCCTCAATTATCCAAAATTAGTCAGTGTCTTCCTCCTGCAGCCCCCATTTAGTCTTCAGTAATCGAGACTGCACTCTAGCTATATAGAGCTCTAGAAGCAGTGGTATGGTAAGTGTAAAGAGAGAAAATGTTTATTGTCCTCATTAAAGATTGTAAACAGAGTGTTAAATAATATTAATGGCTGGGATTGTCAGTACTTAACAGTACTTTCCTAGTACAAGTGATTTTATTGATCGATACAGACTCAATATAACAGGGTAGATTATTCTACTGATTTTATCAAAACTTTAACTAAGTTTCTTAGTGCACCACATATCTTTAAATAGATCTAGATGATGATGTAGATTAAGAAAAGCAAACCACCATCCATCTTTTTTTGATCTGTTAATAACTTAAATCCATCATTGTTGCTACAAGCTGTTTTCAAATTCTGTTGTGCATACCTGTTTCATTGGTGCTTGTCACAGAATCTTACAATTGTTTAGATGGCTTTTGGTTTTAAAGAATGTAGTTGGCAGATGCAGGGTCACATATATGCTAGAGATAAAAGGTAGGGTAAAAATAATGTTACTGGTAACATAAAGGACAGATATTTATAAAACATGCCTTTTGTGAAAACAGTTCCTGAAGAGACTTTCCTGGCTCTTTTTTTTTTTTTTTGTAAAGCTGGCAGTGCTTTAAAAAAATAGCCTTATTACTTACTTTGAAAATAACAGTGCAGTTTTGAAAAGTGGTATTATTAATGTGTGTTTTGCAATTCATTTATTTTTTATTTGCTGTATATTTTAAAATAACCAAAATGATTTGTTATTTGCTGTACAGAATTGGGCTCTGTGAAGTTTTTCTTTTATTTCCTGAGTGGTTTACTTTTTACTCATATTTCAGGCTTGTTTCAAAGCAAATTTTGTTCATTAAAAAAGCAAAATTTTAATTAAAATTCAGGACAATTTTAGAGACAAAGTTACTGATATACTTAATTCTCATTTTCTTTTCATTCTAGTATTACTAGTTGCTATACAGATACACCTCTACCCCAATATAATGCAGTCCTCGGGAGATGAAAAAAATCTCACTGCGTTATAGGTGAGACTGCATTATATTGAACTTGCTTTGGCCCCCGCTGTTCCTTGTTCCCTGACCGCCCCCTCCAGAGACCCCTGTCCCTAATCACCCCCAGGACCCTACCCCCTAGCCAATCCCCCTGCTCCCTGTCCCCTGACTGCTCTGACCCCTATCCACACCCCTTGCCCCCTGACAGACACGCAGCGGCAGGAAGCGGAGCAGCCTGGCCTCAGCCCACTCCACTCCGCCAGCTCCCAGCCGCGGCGCTCCGCTTCCTGCTGCAGGTGAGTGCGGGGGGGCGTCCTTTCCCCAACCTCCCCCGCACTCACCTGCAGCGGGAAGCGGGGCGCCGCATCTGGGAGCTGGTGGAGTGGAGCGGACGGAGGCCGGGCTGCTCCACTTCCGCCGGTGACTGTGCGGGGATCCCTTCCCCCAAGCCCTCTCCCCCAAGCTACATGACTGGGTCCGGGGCGAGGGAAGCGGAGCGGGCTGCTCCCGGGCCCCCGCTAATCCCCCAGGCCACTCTGGGACTGCAGGGCCCCCAAAATGCCCCCCCCAGCTTCTGCCTCCCAGACCCGGGGGGGAACCCCTGACCACCCCTGAGACCCTCTGCCCTTATCCAACCCCTCGACGCCGGCCCGGCCCCCTTAACACGCTGCTCAGAGCAGCGAGTCGGAGCTTTACCACGTTGTTTACAAACCTGCGTTATGTCGGGTCGCGTTATATCGGGGTAGAAGTGTACATAGTAACAAACAGTCCCTGCCCTGATGTTCTTACAGTCTAAACAGACAAGACAGAGGGTAGGAGGCAAAACAGATAAATGATCTGGTCAAGCCACACAGCATGTCAGTGGTAAAGCCAGGAATAGAACCCATGTTTCCTGATTCTCAGTCCAGTTCTAAAGCCACTACAGTCTAATGTAGAGGTGGGCAAAGTATGGCCCGCAGGCCACATCTGGACCGCTGAACTGTCCTACCCAGCCCCTGAGCTCCCGGTCGGAGAGACTAGTCCCCAGCTCCTCCCCTGCTGTCCTCCCTCCCTCGCAGCCTCAGTGCACCATGCCGCCAGCGCTCTGGCCTGCCGCTTCTGCCGAGCAGGGCAGCAGTGTGGCTGCAAGCTCCTGCCTCTCTGAGCGGCGTG